TCATAATGTTTCTCCTGTTTACAGCCTCCCAAGAGCTAGGATTACAAGCATGTGCCCAGACTCAATCTGGGTCAATCTGGGGGTGAGGCCAGCAAAGCAGGCCCTGGGATTGAACCCCCAGCCCCTGTAACCTGCTTGCAGGCACTTTAATCCACTGAGCTATTTGGCAAGCCCAATCATAGTTTGAAATAGAAGCAAAACATTAGATATGGCAGAACACTAAAGAAATCACCACCACATAAAAATAGTAGCACAAAGAAACTAGCAAGGCCTGTTTCTTATTACACCATACATCGCACAAGCAGAGCCTGCCCACGACTCCACCCTCATAGGCTGCACTGGGTGGGTGGGAAGCAGCCCCTATACCATCAATGATGGCACAGGGCCCACTCTCGGCCCTCAGAGTCCACAGGGAGCCCAAGGTGCGCTGGCCTGTTCTGTGAGCAGGTGGGAGACAGGCACATGGTTGGGTAGAATCTAGGTGAATGCCTTTATTTTGCCCAAGTGCTGAATTTTCCCCTTCTTACATCCCCATCCAAAAGGGAATCCAGGAGCTGGAATGTGAGATGGAGTTGGTGCTAGAGAAAACTCCCAAAGAACGCCTGCCTTGGGCTGCATTTGCCAGCTGGGATGGAGGAAGGACGCCTGCAGAGGGATGCGGCCCTGTGTGCAGCCCCTCCTCATATCTGACTGCTGCACACCCTGAGCACCCTGCAGCCTGAGGGATGAGAATCAGCTCCTTTCCCCACTCACAGGAAACAGAGGGTGATGGAATTCCAGGAATATTTTTCTGCCTTCTTGATGAGTTCTTTTTGAACCAGTGAGAAGACAATGGACCAATACCAGGGTTCCAGCTCCAACTACCAGAGGGAGGAGAGACCTAAAGCTCTGAGTACAATGCCCAGGATCCCAGTCTCGGGGGACAGCACAGTCTGCTGAGCAGGCCTCCTGAGGAGGAGGGGACTGAGGGTCGAGGGGGCAAAAAGAACCATAAAATCAGAAGAGCCCCACAGGAACACTGGCAAGGTGACCTTGGAGAAGGTGAGTGCTGCAGGGATTATCTTGAGGCCCCTGCCTGACATCACAACATGAGAAGCAGATCCTCTGTCCTTACAAGGCTGAGCACTGAACGAGCTTTAATTCTGCACAGAAGCAAGTCCCTGCCAAAGAGGAGCAAGTGTGTACAAAACATGGAAACCAAATGACTTGGATCTTGCTGGCAATTGGTGGCAGTGAAACCACGTCACGTAGCCAGCCCTGGAGGGTTGTTCCCCTTGTCTTCAGCATCATGTCTGTCCAAGATCAAACAACCACCATCCACAAGCCCCTCACATCCTCAGATGCCCCTGCTCCTGGGGGTATCAACAGGATGACACAGAGCAGATGAAATGCAAGATTGTTTCACAGTTTGCTTCAAGGAAGCCCACATGCTATAGGGAGTTTAAAAATACGTGATCTTGGCGAGTAAGCAGAACTGACCGTCTCGGAACAGGCAAAGTAAGGAGCTACCCACAGCCTCTCTCTCATTTTGACAAAGTAGTTTCTTGTCAGCAATGAGAGACTTCTAAGTGGCGCACAGCCAATTCCTAACACCAGCAACCACCAGGCTTTTCACAGCCCAGTGGGCTGGGCCTCAGTGGCAGTCCTGCTGCTACATAGAAAGCCCCAGGCGGTGGGCAGATCTCTGCTCCCAGCTACACGTAGCTTGGTACCAACTGCAGAAGTGTCCAGCAACCTGAGAAGCATCACACAGGGAAGCCACAGGCAGGGGCTCTCCAACTGCCTAGAAGACCATGGAACTGAAAGCCCCAGCCTCCAACAGGCCCTGCGTTGGGCATGCTCCACTGGGCTCCGCCTGACTCCTTCCTCAGGGCCATCAGCCACCTGCTGTCCTCACCAAAGCTTTCCCAAGGGCCATGTGCAGAGGTCAGGAAGAGCTGCAGATGCCATAAATTTATGCTTGGGCTTAGAATGTAATTTTAATCTCTCTTAAACTCAACAAACCACCAAATACATGCCAGATTTGTACATAATCCATTTCTGAGATTAAGGTGTTATAAAAAAAATGAAATTGGAAGTTTGCCTTAAAGCATTTTTAACATGCACTTATTGCCAATGGTATTTGTAACATGACATTAAGGTTTAAGAGCCAAAAAGAAGAAAAAGCACAAGCAAAACAGAAATCCCATGATCAATGCCCTCAGTCATTAGTTTTAGCAAAATTGCATCATAAAACAGCTTCTCTGGAACACTGACTTCTCGCCAGACGAAAGTGTTAACAGAAAGACAAATGGCTTTTTTGAAATAGGATGTTTTGCCTCCAAACATTCTGTTCTGCAGCTTAGACCTCTGCACTACAGAAGTCAGATCTGCCTGATTTCAAAATCCACAAATCTTGTTTAACAAATATTTCTGAGCTGCTGCAGGTTAACCACTGCGCCAAATTTTGTTGGCAACAAAAACCTGAATCAGATACATCTTCTGTCCTTGAAGAATTTACAGTGCAAGGGGGAGAGGACAGGGGAGAGGGGGCAACACAGCCAGGGACCTCATGTGCTGCAATAGGAGTGGCAGGGGGTGTGGCCACTTATGCATGGACAGGATGGTCAGTGGCATCCCAATATGACAGCCACAATCTCCTTGAGGTCACCCAAAACATCCAATCTGTAGACACTTGCGAGTCAACCATGGAGGCTGGAAGAGACCCTGTTTTACAATTATCTCACCAAAACAGAGAGGACCATATCACAGGCCCTTAGGATGGTGCAAGCCACAAATGAGCCTGCCCTATGTGTGTTCCAGTGCACTTCTACTCAGAACAGCAGTGTCACACACAGAATGGGAGCTGTAGAACAGTGTACAGGAAAACAAGGAATGCTTATTTTGTGCCATCATTGTCTTGGCTTTCAAAACTATAATACTCAACACACTTTCACCTTTTGCTGGTTTTTTTTTAATGTATTTTAGGGAAGGGTCTACAGGGTGTTCAGGGTCTCACTACTAGATCAGACCCATAGTGATCTGCCTGTTTACAGCCCCCCAAGAGTTGGGTTTATAGGTGCACACTACCACACCCAGTCTCAATCACCATCTCAGCATGTCCTGGGGGTAGGGCCGGCACAACATGCCCAGGACCAAACCCCCAGCCCCGGCGCCTGCTTGCAGGTGCTTTAATCAGCTGAGCTATTTGGCCAGCCCTTACCTTTTGCTGTTTTTTGTTGTTTTTGTTTTGCTTTCTGAGGCACAAGGGATTGAACATGGGACTTTTGCACTGAGCTGCATACCCAGCAACTTTGATACAGGGGTCTTTCTAAATTGCCCAGGCTGAGTTTAAATTTGTGGCCTTCTATAGGCATCTGCTGAACTCTCAGTGTACCTGGGAAGGAATGGTGGTGAGAATGAGGAGAAGATAGACAACAGACAATAGCTGGGTGGGGTGGCGGGTTTTTTCTCTTAAGCCTCCAAAAATGTAGAGAATTTATTTAGAACCTTTAGAGTTTGATATCCATTTCAACTTCTCTACCTAGCAATCAGTTAACAAGCTACAACTGCTTGTTCACGTGCTTCAAGGTGCTTCTGTGTTGTTAGTCTGGCTTCCTCCTGCATGTGTAATTACTTTCCAGCTTCAGCTGCTCCCAGCAACCTTCCTATCTCTGCCTCCTAGAGTACTAGCATTACAGCTGTAGGGCAATTGTCGGGGCTCACTGTAATGTAGGTGAAATATAAAAATGGGTTTTAATACAACGGGCTTCAAATTACATTCCAAAACCAATCATTGTTGTTACCCAGTCCAATGTGTGATACCTATTTTTTTAAAAAAGATTTTCTGTAGAGATCCAATTTACTGTCGGATCATGTCCCAATAAATATGGTAAATAAAAAGACTTTCACACACTTGAGCTATGCAACATCCTAGTGGGGAACACAGCACAACACTGAATGTCCCTGGATGACCTTTGGGACATGTGACTGCTGGGGGCTGTGGCTCAACGCTCCTGCTCCAGTACCCTGAGGGAAGATCTACTCTGTCACCAGTCTAGGAAAAGAGTCAAGTCCCAAATGAGAAGTATGACACTGACAGACACACATGACTTCTTCACCACTGTAAAGTCAAAACATCATGGCAAGTTGGATGATGGTCAATCAGGGACCACCTGTGATGTTATGACACAGTTACACTGCTTATCTCATAGCTGGCTATGGTGACATCACTGTGTAGTGGAAGCCGTATGCATCTTCCCGTACATCTAGGTAACCTCCCATTGTTGACCATGATATACAAAGTAGTGTCATCTATGAAGAAGCAAGTCGCCAAGCTAGAAAAGCAGAACTTAGAGTAAAAAGGAAAGTTAGTAATTTACTATGGGGGAAAAGAATTGATTAGAACTTCAAATTATTGAATCAAAAATTGAGCACAAATGCAGACTTATGTATCTGATAGGTACAAGCAGAATGAGCCCAGCCCTGTCCACACTTTGCACTGTGGCACGAACGGGGGATACTGTGTCTCTACCCAGCACACCCAAGGGAACAAAGATGTACTTGAAGAGTCAGGCTCTGGCCAGGATGCAGACAAAAGGAGGCAGGACAAGGGACAGAAAGATGAATGGCTGTGCTGTTGAGAGGGTGGCCAGCAAAGGATCCACTGCTAAGGAGGCAGGCCCGGCACCCAAGTGAAGGGATGAAAATCTGCAACTATCTTGGATCAGCAGGCTCTGGAAGAGAAAAAACCTGGTGCAAACTCTGAAAAGGGCAGTGGAGAGCCATGTAAGAACCTGCCTGGAAAGCACAAGGACTCAACATTGAGCCCCAGCACCGCATGCTATGTCAGCCCTGGAACCCTGGGCATGCCACGCTGGCCACAGAGACAGGATGTGGTGGCACATGCCTGTAATCCCAGCACTAGGGAGGCTGAGAAAGGGGGATCACTATGAGCTTGAGCTGTGTAGTGAGACCCTATACCAAGTAAACAAATAAAAAATTTAAGAAAGAAAAAAGGGATCCTTCGGTTCATGACTGTGATGATTGGGTGTTCATGCCTTATACATGAGATGTGCCTCCCTCAAACCTTGTTACAACATGGGCACATGACCCATCTGATGTGGGAAAAAAAGAAAGAAAAATAAAAGAAAAGGGACAGAGGCCATAATACTGGTTACTGTCCCAGGGCTGGGGTATAACGCCAGCACCCCCATCTTGAAGGAGGAGAGGCTTCGTTTGGCTCATGGGTTCAGGGGATTCAGTCCATGCTCAGCTGGCTCCCAGGCAGGAGCACTAAAACAGAAGTCCTGGCTGAGCAAAGCTGCTTAGTTTGTAGCAGCTACAGCAAAACACAAGAGTACCAGACAGGAAGGGGCAAGGAGGAAGGGGTAAGGGACATGATGCAGAACTCAAGGCCACATCTCCGTGACCACCAGGAGCACCCAGAACACAGCACATCAATCCCTGAGGCAGATTTTCAAGCCAACAAACTTGACACAGTTGAGCTTAACCATACAAGTGCCATGCACCAGGGACCAAGAGCCCAGGAGTGTGGTCAAGGCAGAGAGAAGAGAGGGTGCTCTGGAAGTGAGGGCACAGAGATCCTCTACAGCCAGATCAAGTACAGTCTTATAGCTAAGGTTGTTCTTTAAACATGAATCTAGATGTCTGCTCAAATAAATAAAATCATCTGTAGACATTATTTTTTGAGACAAGTTCTCACTATGTAGTTCAAGCTGGCCTTGAACTCACTATGTAGCCCAGGCTGATCTAGCTTCCCAAGTGCTGGGATTACACACATGTGTCACCATACCTGGCTCTGTAGACTCTTAAGTATTTGATTACACATTGCCCAAAATTAAGAGGGGTGACAGAGGTAATTAGAATCATCAGATAAGATATATCTTCAAGGTTGGCCTGTTGAGATGATCAATAGATTAAACACAGGCTGCAAGAGGGAGAGGAATCAGGGGCCAGTAAGATAGCTCAGCTGGCTAAGTGCCTGCTTGGCAAGTGCAGGAACTCTGGTTCAATTGCCAGCATGAAATGCCATACCAGCCCTACCCCAGGCATGCTGAGGCAGCCACCAAGACTGGGCATGGTGGCGCATGCCTGTAATCCCAGCACTGTAGAGGCTGAAAAGAGGAGGATCACTATGAGTCAAAGCTGCACAGTGAGGCCTTGTATCAAATACATAAAAATTGAGAGAGAGAGAGAGAGAGAGAGAGAGAGAGAGAGAGAGAGAGAGAGAGAGAGAGACTGAGAGAGATCAACTCAGTTCAAGATACCCAATGTTACTGAGCAGACAGAACTTGGTTTGGGGAGAGTGAAAAAATCAGACCTCATTTTAGGCCATTTTCAATATAAGATCAGGCCAGACAGCCATGGGAGAGGCCAGTGCACACTCGGATCTTAGCAATGAGCCTTGCGGATGAGGAAAACGTAAATGGAATGACCTGCATATACACTGTTTTTCAAGCCATGGATCTACATAAAATCACCTAGGACAGTGATGGCAAGCCATTTAGAAACCATGTGCCCAAACCACAACCCAAAGCCACGTATTTATTGCAAAGTCCCAACACTACAATTAAACCTGAATACTGAGGTTTTAATTAAAAAAAAAAAAAGTGGTGACTGAGAGGCCTGCATGCTCACTGCAGCACACATGTCATAGGTTCACCATCACAGTCCTAGGGAATGAGGCCATGGGGAAAGCTCTCTTGGTAGGTCCTGGGGTCCCCCAGTATCTGAAGTTTGAGAAAATAAAGAAAGATCCACTTGAGGCTGGTGAGATGGCTCAGTGGTCTAAAGCACCTATTTAGAACAAGCTTAGCAAAGCACTGGGACCGCGGTTCAATCCCCCAGCACCACATGCCAGCCAGCCCCGCCCCCTGGTGGGCTGAACTGGCCACACACACACACACATACATACATAAATAAAAAAAAAAATAAAAAAGAGGGGCTGGTGAGATGGCTCAGTGGTCTAAAGCACCCACTTAGAACAAGCTTAGCAAATCACAGGGACCGCGGTTCAATCCCCCAGCACCACATGTCAGCCAGCCCCGCCTCCTGGTGGGCTGAGCTGGCCACACACACACACACATACACACACAAATAAATAAATAAATAAAATTTTAAAAAAATAAATAAATATAAAAAAGAAAGATCCACTAAAAAGAAAGTTCAAAGAAAGAAATGCCACATAAACAGGATTCTTTTAAATCCATTCCACAGATGCTAGGGAAGTCAATGAAAGTTATATCTTTGCGCACACACACACACACACACGTGCATGCACACAGACACATGCATGCCTACTCTCCCCCATCCACACGTAATTACTACTACACCAGAGAGCTGGCTGAAAAGATAGGCTTATTCAGTGAGCACCAGGGGTTGCCTTCTCTCAGCACCTTCTACCTGCCGGGCAGAGTCAAGATCCTTCAGGACATGGTTGACATCCAGGGGGTGAGGCTAATAAAAGAAGCTGTCATGACCACTCTCAGAGCTAATGACTACCACACCTTCCAACCAACCTCTCTAAGGAATGGATTTAAGTTTAGGAAAGTGTCCATGGGCTGGAGGAGCTGAAACTTCTAAGGTTCAGGCCTAGGACCAATGTCTCCACAAGAGGACTCAGAGCCACCAGAGCCTAGTGACACACTGGCTGAGTCAATATTAGGATGGGTATGGCATGAGAGAACACCAGACAAGTGGGAGTAGCAGAAAGAGCTTTCTCCATGCCAATTTTCCTTCCCAGTTATACAAAGTCCTAAACTTTGGGATGAACAGAGACCACAGTCAGACCCTGCTCTCAATTTCTGATCCCAAAAAGTGACTCAATGCTAGGCCAGGATGACACTGAGAAAGGATCTACAAACTGTGGTGCAGGGCTCCAGGGTAAATCCTGAGGGGATCTGACTGACCTTGGCAGATACAGAAGTTATATTTCTTGTTATATATGCCTTGCTTTATCTTGGTCTTAACCATCCAGCAGAAAAGTAAGAAAACGAAGTATTAAAAAGCAAAGCTGGGGCTGGAGAGATGACTCAGTGGTCTAAAGCACCTACTTGAAACAAGCTTGGCAAAGCACAGGGACCGCGGTTC